GGATAGCTGGAGAGCGACCTGTCTCAGTGGCGTGGTGTTCTGGAGAGCGGGAGTAGAGTTACCATTACTCTTTGAGGTCATTCCATCCACAGTTTTGGACAGTCTGGTGTCACACCAACCCTGAAGTCTTAGTTTCCTCACAGTTAGTTACCACATGGTTTCCAGGGTCCCTGGATCTCTCTGAGTTTAGGAATATCACCCACACCCACCTTCCTCTACCCTTTTTAGCAGGTTGTATTGTCCTCTCTGTCCATTAACACAAACCTCCTCAGTCTTTTTTACCTGAGACCTTCCATTGCCCTCTGACTCTCAGAAACCCCTCCTTTTCCTGCCAGAGAGCACTGTTCCAGGTGATCCATAGGCAGTGGGAGGGAAAACAGCATCTTGATTTCAGAATCATCAGCATTGCAAAGTTGATCACCTACAAAATACTGCTTTCTCCATTTGCCATCCCCACCTGCCCTTCACAGCTTCAAAAAACCCTCCCCACGAGAATGGGGAGGCGTAGCCTAGCCATGCTGACTCAGATTGTCCATTATACTCTTTGAAAAGCTCACAAACTGCAGGATGGCAGAAAATGCCCAGGGACAGGTTTTTGTGCAAAAACTCAGCACTTTTTTGAATGTCAAAGCAGGCACTGAGTCATGTAATGAGCACCGTGGCTCCTCGGCTGGCCTAACTGCTACTGGAATTGTGCATTTTCACGAAGGCTTTGCAAACCAGATTAGAATAGCTTCCATGGGACCCAGCTGCAGAACAGAGTCCAAAGCGCAAAGCAGTCATCGGTGATCTGACAGAAGCTGGGGTTTGACATTTAGTACTTAAATTAAAATGCCCCCAAAGTTACTGATACTTTAGGTTTTTCTGTCAAGGTGATTGCTGGCTAATTTCACACATGGAGGAGGATGGGCAGCACTTCTAGAATGTGATTCCAAGTGTGGTTTTCACTAGGAAAATCCATTTACTCCAAAAGGCATTTTTCAACTGACCCATCATGGAATCTGATATGCCACAATTAGACACTTATTTCGAGTGTTCGTTCCTTGCACCTGCTACAAGGAAATATCAGGCAGCTTTGTGCCCAGCAAGAGGTTGCTTTGGAAAGGTTGTGTAATGAAGCCTGAGAAGTCATTCCTCAGTGGGATGGGATGGACCCCTACCTGAGCATGGATGTAGGAGATAGGGGGCAGAAGAGGATCAAGAGAATGGTATATGAGGGACCATAGTAGCTTGAAGAGAGATCCTCTGAGGCAGTGGCTGGTCCAAGACTGTGTTAAGAGTGGGAAAGCACCTGTCTTTTCAGTAGTACAACTCACTGATCCCAGCCTCACCACTCAACTCTTCCCTGTGGTTACCAGGTGCACCCCACCCACCTCCAGCCTGGCCCATTGTGTCACCTACTCTTGGGTGAACACCTTGTTCTTTTTGCTTAGTTGCTTTGATCAGGGCTCTGCTCAGTTGTGGACACACTAGGAAGGTGGTCACCCTATGTGCCACCATCATCATGGAACCTGGGAAGAATTTCTCTTGTGAGTCTATTGAAAGGAGACAATTGCTTACGCTGAGAACTTAAAGAATCCCAGACAGCCATGTGCTGTCCTCAGAGGCAGAACCTGGCTGGTTTTACATTGGGAGAGGTGTGTTGCTTTTGTCTGGTGTATCTTACTTCTTATTCTTATTTTTCTGATCATGTTTTATCATGTGTATTTGAGAGCATTTTCTAAACTATGGCCTCATGAATTTGTTGCTCTAATTACCACCAGTTCTGAAACTGGTTCCCATGGTCTATAGAGACATTGATGATCTGGATAGCTCTGGTTCCAGTTCCAGTTCCCCTTCTCCTGGTAGAGTGCTGGTTTGGTTGAGGTCTCCAGGCTGAGCTCCAGGGATGTGTGGTTTAATTACAATCCCATTGTTTTACCAATGAGAGATTCAGAACTGAGCCTGTAACCATGCCAACCAATGAGAAATGAGCAACAGCTTGGAGGTAGGATCAGAGGTTTCTCCTTCCCCAGGGAGAAAGAGGTAGTCTCTATTTTTACTCTGAGCATTGTGGGATCTGGGTGTGATGCCTGAAACCTCAACAGCCATCTTGCTCCCAACCTGAGTTTGAAGGCAACACTTCAGAGCAGTGTTGAAAGCTGGAACAAAGCGAGCCCCTGAATCACCCAGCCCTGAAGCCTCCCTTACGTCTGCGTTTCCAATTATGTGAGCCCATAAATTTCCTAACGTGTGAGTGATTTGAGTCTCGGGTCTCTTTACCTGCATTTGAATGTCACATTCCTTTTTATCCTTTAAGTTTATCAGACTTTCCCTGGCTCTTGTGGTTCTTTTGAAGAAGTGACATCCTGGGTGAACAAACAGGTTTGTCTTTTTTTTTTTTTTTCTTTTTTCCAGAATGAGGAGGAATCTCTGCATCTGACTGAGGTTTCTGATGTCTTCATGGTAGACATTTGCTGAATTTCGAACAGAGCGAAGACACCTCTAGTTGGATTATTTGGACAAATGGGAGTGGGAATGTGATCACCTCTGGTCCAGGCTTCCTCTGCCTTTCTTCATTGGTTAGCGGGAGGCCCAAGAGACTCGAGTGTGCATTTAAACACTCAAGAAACCCCTGGGGAGGAAAAACTAGGAAAATATTACTCTATTGTAGACGGCTCCCCCTCTGCTCACCTGGACATCAACATAGGGAGTGTCACTGGGTACCTGGCAGCACTGCTTGGGGTGAAGGTGACTGCTCACTGGTGGACTGAGTCTGGACTGGGAGGCCTGGGAAGGAGTCATCCACGCACTCAGAAGGAGGCCTTCCTCCTGAAGCCCTGCTGCCTGACAGTTTCTTGGGGCTACGTTTATAACTGGTTGGAATTGTCTACTTTGGAGAGAGGATGAGACCACCCATCATGGGCCCAAGCCCCTGGAGGGCTTCGGGGTTGGCACATCCATGTTCAAAGCTTTCACCTTTCTCTGCTCAGTCCATAGTTCCTCTGAAGGGGAGCTGCATTTCAGAGTGCTGTCGGAGATAACTCCTGGTGTCCACCTGGTATTGACCTGATCCTTAGTGTCTTCTGTCCCTGTTCTCCCCCAGTGACAGGGCATGTCCTGATTGCTAATGTGGGAGTCCTTCCTCTGAATGTCACCCCTGTCCTTGGCCTTATGTAATCTAACCACCCCTCTGTTGCCACGACCTCTTTCTAAGATTCATCAAAGGTCTCCAGTGACTTCCTACTACTTAGAAGGTCACCCTGGAGCTCCTGAGCTGGACCAGGCTCTTCAGCCTCAGGTGGACTCCCTGAGAGATGAGCGTAACTCCTTGTCAGCTCAGGGTTCACTCTGGCCAGGAAGCCTCTGTTATCACTTCCATAAAAAACCTTGTTACATCCCACTTTCAAATTCCTTTGTCCCTCCCCACCCAGTCCCTCTGTGGAGCAGACACTCCTGCACTGAGCATCATACTTGGGACTCACAGAGTGGATGTCTGTGGTGTGAACTGCAGGAAATCAGGGGGACACAGAGCATGTTAGGTGGGTGTGGTTCAGGAGCAGGCAGTCCTGGTCTGAGAACTGAATTCCTCAGAGCTCTTCAGGCCTGGGAAGCTGCTCGTTTCTCTCTTTTGCTCCACCCCAGGTGGAATCAGGTCTGGGCCAGATGCAGAGCCAGGGCTGTAACCCAGCAGCTGCAGTACTAACAGCGGCAGCCTGTCACTGTCGAGGTCCTAAGTCTCATCTAGAGAGAACTAGTCACTTCCCCATCCCCCACACACAGCCTGCCCAGATGACTGCAGGTTTCCCTTACAGGGTGTGAAGAGGCAGAGGAAGAGGACCTACCAGAACTAAAAGGCATGGTGGAGGGGCCCCAGGACCTTTGCATATGCTCAGAATTTGGGCCTCTGCTCATACACAACCCAGTGTCTGCTGTCTTTTCTGAACTACCGCAGAAACATAGACCACCATCTTCTCCCCAAATTTCCACAGGTTTTGTAAGCGATCATCTGGGATTGCACTGAGTGGGATTAAAGATGTCACAGTGAGATGTGAAATTTATCCTGAGACAGACAGCCCTTTGTGAGCTAAGAAGATAGATTTTTACTTTTCTTTTGTATGAGGTTTGAGCTCAGGGCCTTGCACTTGCTAGGCAGGCACTCTGCCACTTGAGCCATCCCCAAGGCCTTTGTGCTTCAGTTCTTTTTCTAATGGGGTCTCACTTCTATGCCTGGTCAACCTGTACTGAGACCCTCTTCCTTATGCTTCCTGAGTAGCTTGGATGACAAGCATGTACCACCATGCCCAGCTTTTATTGGTTGAGATGGGGTCTCGTGAATATTTTGCTGACCTTGAACTATTATGATCCTCCTGATGTCCATCTCTCAAGTAGCTGGGATTACATGTGTGAGCTATCATGCCTGCCCTGGCTTTCTCATTTTTAAATAGTTGAAGAAGTCATAAGAATAACGTTTTGCCTCACACATGAAAATTACATACAATTCAAAATGTAATGCTCATCAAGGTTTACGGGAATGTAGCCTCTCGTCCATGGTGGCTTTTGTCTACATGGGAAGTTGAGTAGCTGTGACATCACCAACTGAGTCGCCGAGTCCAAGGTAACCTATCTGGTCCTTTATGACTCCTGCTCTAGGACTTTCCTGTTCCTGTACTTTCTGGATGCTGATTCTGCTTTCCCTGGGGTGAGGCCCATCCTGCTGCCATGACCCCTTGCCCTCTCCTCCCTCAGAATCATTTCGTGGCAGATCTTCCTCCTCCTCTCTCTTGGGGCTAGAGAGGTGATGGAGCACCATCTTTTACACCCTGCAATGAGACTTATGAATAAATATAACTCTTCCATCAGCTTTGCAAACAGCATATTTCTTCTCCTGACACCATGCCCACGTGAGGCATCCCACAGCCATGCACCACAGGCCCCCAGACATCCCGTGACGATATTCAGCTCCTTTATCAGCTACCCTTATGATTTTTGACAAAACAAAAATGAGAAATATTTTCCCTTTGGGTTTTATTGAGCTAAAAGTACTTCTAGGACAATGCTTGATGTGTCTGATGCATGGAAGCTAAACAGAGAGTGCAATATTGTGAAAAGCAAAGTGCAGAGAGAGAGAGAGAGAATGAGATTAAGAGGATTAGAGGGGAGAGAGAGAGACAGAGAGAGAGAGAGCGAGAGAATATGAGAAGAAAGAGTCGCTTATAGAAGTCACATGAAAATGCTCAGTTCCCCTGAGTAATGACCAAGTTAATTATAATGGCAAGAAAAATCAGACCACATATGATAAGCAAGGCAGATATTATGATGTGGGAAGTCATCCGGATTCTGTCTCTGAGGAGCGCCTTGAACCTCCAGCTGCTCTCACACTCTTCCAGCTCTTGCTGCTGCTTTCGCACCTGCAGCCTCACGTTGGCCAGGTAGCGCCTGTGGTCTTCTGGGCAGACACTGTCCCCGTCTTGCCGCAGCACCTGGGCATGAAGGAAGAGGTCATTGCTGTGGAAGGAGCCCTGGCACTCCTGCTTCAGTGCCTCCAGCACGGCCATGAGCTCCTCCAGCTGCTTGCGCTGCTTCTCCCCGGTGGCCCGGTTGTTAAAGGCACAGTACCTCTTCCCGCACTCCTGGACCAGGCCCCGCAGGCTGCAGTTGTCCGTGTGGAGCACATAATCATCCAAGGACTCGCCTCCCAGGTCTTCCTTGTGAGTGAAGAGGATGACCACGTACCTCATGGCCTCTGCTCCAAAGATCTCCTTCACCCTCCTCACGGCTGCTGTGTCCTCGTCTGTGAAGCGCCCCAGCTGGGTCACCAGGAGTAGCACGTGGGGACCTGGGGCAGACAGTAGGTAGCAGTCCCCAATGTTCTTATCCATGTCTTGGGTCTGGGCCTTTGAGTCAAAGATGGAGGGTGTATCAACCACCAGGATGCTCTTCCCTTTCCATGTTCCCATCTCCCCCTGGCAGGTCCTGGTCACTGACTGGGCCCCCAGCCTGGACTCAAAGGCTGGCCGGCAGAGGATGCTGTTCCCTGTTGCGCTTTTCCCACTGCCTGTTTTGCCCACAAGGATTATTCTCATTGAGGGAGGTGTTGCAAACCAGTTTTCTTCTACACCTGTGAAAACAAGAAGTTTTAGTGCCCTATAAGTTAGCAATTCTTTGGACTTTAGGTGCTAATGGGAAGCTCATGAAAGCTATGGGCTGCTTCCCTGAAGAACAGTGAGCTTCTTGGACTTTAAGAAGGCACTAAGAAGGCCCTGTGCAGAGTCCCTGCTTGGATCCATAGCAAGGGGTCAGAACTGCCACACTAAGGAGAGGCTCTGAGCACTTCATTTGGATGGTGGCAAATATGTTCTTTCTAAAGAAATGTGGTACATGCAGTCTTCCCTGGATGGTGTTCAGGACAGCTCCACAGAGAAATGATTGTCAAGTAAATGTGAGTTTAGAAGGAGGCAGTGATGAGGCAGGGTGTGGTGGTACACATCTATAATACCAGCTATTTGGAAAGCAGGTATCAGGAGGATTGCAGTTTGAGGGCAGCGTGGGCAAAAAGTTGAGATTCCATTTCAACAAATAAAATGGGAAAGGTGGTATGCTTCTGTAAACCCAGCTACTTGGAAGGTATAGGTAGGAGGATCACCGTCTGAGGCCAGTCCCAGAGCAAAACCACATATCCTATCTGAAAAATAACAAAAGTAGAAAGGGCTGGGGACTGACTATAGTAGTAGAGTGGCTGCCTAGCACATGAGGATTCAAACTCCAGTACCACAAAAGAAGAGAAGAAGAAGGAGAAGAAGAAGGAGGAGGAAGAGGAGGAGGAGGAGGAGGAGGAGGAGGAGAAGAGGAGGAAGAGGAGGACGAAGGGGAGAGGAGACAGGAGGGGGAGGATGGCGAAAGGAGTGAGGAGGAGGGGGAGAATGAGAGGGAAGAGGAGGGTGGTGGCAGGAAATAGGGTCACCTTGTCCATTCACAGGTTCCCAGGCCGCTCTATGGACTTGCTCAGCACACTCATGGAACCTTGAGGGTAAAGGAGTGTCACATGGCAGAGCTGTGGTGACCCACCATGGGCCAGCTGAGTATCTCAGGGCCTGTGTTCTTTTGGGCAAGGGAAGTGGGTGCTTGAAGTTGAGATAAGGGAGGGTCACAGTTAATGTCAGGTCAAAATCTGGGAGATGTCTGAAGGCTGGTGGAACAGAGATCATCTTGCTGGTTCAGTGTTGCCAAGGGTAACAGCTAAGAGTCAAAAGCTTCAGGTAGAAGGCGTGAGAGCCTGGGCTCTCTAGAGTTCTTAGGAACTCAAATGTGTTCCAAGCGCTTTTCAGGCTCTTAAAAAAAAGCTATTGTTTCATTCCTTCTACTCTATGTTGGTTCTTTCTTTCCTTTGGGGAGTATTTTTGCCAAATAATCACTAAATTTCTATGTGGAACCTTTCCTTTTTTCAACTGAGAGGAGTCAAGGGAAGAGAAACCATGTCACAATTCAGTTCCAGATCCTCCAACCTCTGGCTTGAGTTTCCTTCCACACTTTCCCCACACTATAGTGTGTGTGTGTGTGTGTGTGTGTGTGTGTGAGAGAGAGGCAGAGAGAGAGAGAGAGAGAGAGAGAGAGAGAGAGAGAGAGAGAGAGAGAGATCGCTATGGGGCAGGAGGTAGGGAACAAATGGTAGTCCCCCTTTTTCTTCTTCAGCTGAAATAACTGAGTTTCTGTCCCCATGTTGAAGTTGGGGCACAGGTAGGGAGGGAACAGTGACCTCCCAGTGATGTTTTGGAATGTCAAGGCTTTCTTACCAGCAGCCATAGTTCCATATTTGTTCTTCTGAAACCCTTCCATTCTCTTCTGGAACAAAAATAGGAAAGGAGTAAGAGGGCGCGTGTCCACATGGGAGCTGCAGGGATAAGTAACAGTAACTCGCCTTAGATAAACCATTTCTATTGCCACTTTTCTAATTCACATTTTACTTTTGAATATCCACAAGTGACTTGTGGAAATGAGGCGATGCACCATTGTTTTTCTTCCTCAGCTTATAGCAAAGAAGGAAATGCTTTGAAGCAAATCAGTTGATTATCTCCCCTTAAACTGAAAACAGTGACAAGAAGAAAGCATTTTTCTATGAGGGGGTGTGCCTTTTTTTTGGGACCAAAGTAGGCAAATTTGCCAGAATAGAGGAAAAACAACGGCCGTGCTAGAAGCACTGTTTTGTTTGAGTGTTGGGAACTTCCAGTCCAGGAAATTCTGACAGACGAATATTCCAGTGGCAGAGGCACATACGGGTTGTTTCCCAATGGTAGGGTAGAGCTGGGGAGAAGGGACTCCTTCAAAAACTCCCTGAGAGGAAGTAATGGAAGAAAACTCAGCACAACAACCTTCCCACCCTAGCAGCTGGTGGAGAGATGGTGGTATCGGAGGAACAGGGAGTCAACAGTCAAGTTCAGGATAAAGTCATTTTCCCCTCTCTTTAGGTAAACATCTTTCCTGGTTGGCTCTGAGGTCCTGGTCTCTTCATAATTACCATTTGTGTATTCCAGCAGATTGAACCAGACATCAGCATAAACGCTGGTATAAATGTCTCATTCAAATGACGCCTAACACTGTGGCTTTTTTTTTTTTGTCATTTTAATAAGCCTCTGTTAGAAAGGATGAGAATGTGACACACAACTATCATCAAGATGAGTTCCGAGCTTATGTTTGGATTAGTTAGTTTAAAAGACTGTGGTTATGAAACATACTTTTTAAGTGGAGAATTACACAGAGTAATAAAAAATGCCCACCATTGGCAATGAACACATTTAAGTACTTTGGCAGTTTACTGCAGATATTCTGTTTGACTGAAAAATTAAACTAATACAGATATAGTTTACTTTTCTACCTTTTCCTCATTCTCCACTTCTGCCCTTCAGAGGTAACCAATATTCTGCAATTTTTATTATTAATTTGTTTTTAGTGTTTGTGTATTTCTACATCCATGAGCATCTATAGACAATTTGTAGCATTGTTTGGTGTTTTATTATTTCTTTTTGGTGGTACTGGGGTTTGAACTCAGGGCTTTGTGCTCGCTCACCACTTGAGCCACATCTCCAGTTCTTGTTCAATTATTTAAAAACACCTGAGCTGTTCTAAGGTATTTGTTTTGTGTGATGCCACACAGAGCCCTCATAGGTATCTCCTGGTGCACATGGGCAACAATTTATCTGAGATACACATTTTCTGCTGACTGGATATGGCTAAGTTTGACCCCGGGTGGGCTGTGCGAACTCGTCACATGGAGAATCCCTGTAACTGTCATAGGCGTTCAGTGATATGTCATATGTAGTATTTTGCTACCCTATGGGCATAAGCAAGGGTGTTTTAATAGGTTTGAACTTGCCTTTTGCTGATTAAGACTGTTTTGATAGTTCATGTGCTGTTTAGGCTGCTTCTGTTATTCTGTTCATTCAGTGGGTATTATTGACCCTCTTTAGGGGAAAACATCCATTTTCACTTTGGCAGAATATATTAAGACATCTTCCTGTCACCCTTTCTTTTCTTCCTCCCCCTTTCTTTCTGTCCCCTTCCCCTCCTCTCTTTTCCCTCCCTCCCTCCTCCTTTCTTCCGGAGAAGAGCCTTTTCATTGTCACCATCACCCACACACTGTTCTTGTCTCTGGTAAGTGATATTCTGGTTTTTGCTAAAATTTTCCAAATTCTATGACATCCTTTCTATCTTAGTTGACCTTTTCCGAGGGTTTGAGTCAACATATTGTTGTGGTAAAGGTAATGGTGACATCGTAACTACCCTTTGTGTAGCTGTTCATAATTGCCAAGCTTTCATGCCCAGTGTTTTAATAGTTCTCCAAAATTCCCTGTGATGTGATTAAGATTGGTCTTAAATTTTTTGTTAAAAACATAGGGGCCAGGCTTAGGATGCTGAGGTCAGAAGAATCTCTGTTCAAGGCTAGCCCAGGCAAATAGTTTGAGAGACCCTATATCCAAAATAACCAGAGCAAAATGGACTGGAAGAACGACTCAAGCAGTAGAGCACCTGCTTTGCAAGTGTAAAACTCTGAGTTCAAACCCCAGTCCCACCAACAAAACAAGACAAAACAAAAACCCATGGGAAATAGCATCAAATGACCTGTCCAAAGTCACATATTTGCCATGGAGCCTAATGGCTCCTTTGCCTGTCTGTTCTGGACTTCACTCCAGGAGGTCGAGGAGCCTCTGGGAGCACCGCTTGCTATGCTGGCCATCTAATGGTAAGGACACAAACTAGCACTGACAGCCTGGGAGCCTGATGTAAAACCAACACAGAGAGTTGGGTTACAGCATCTTGGTTGCATGTTTTTACAAGAAAATGAAAAAGACTACTTAAAAATAAAATTGCAGGGGCAAAAGCTGCTATGAATTGAACTATTTCACTTTGAAACGATCTAATGTCTTTACTTGGCTTGGTTCTCAGTGTGACCCGAATGGTGCACTGTGTCTGTCACAAAACTCAATACAACTAAGTAACATTCGCAAACCAGTGGTTTGGAGCCAACTTCTGGGTGGCTCAGGCTGCAAGGGGAGAGACTTGTTGCATTGAGATGTTAACAAATCACAAAGCGTTCAGAGGTGCGACAGAAGGCTACTGATGGAGATGATAAAACATGGAGGGGAAAGACTGGGGACACATGGTAGACCTGAAGGAAGGGGACATCTGTTGGTTTGCAGAGCAGACAAAAGTGAGGGAACCAAGAATGGAGGCAGATTGTTTTTTCTCTAAAGGAAAATACTGCTAACTTCCCCCAACATGGGACCAGGGGTCCTGGGAGGTTGGTAGGCAGCATGCAGGCGAGATTAGTGTCAGCCTCTGATAAAGGGTGGTCAGAAGGCCTAGTTTAGGACAAGGGTAACACACATGCACAAAATGTACATTCTGATTGAAAACTGTGTGAGGTGAGACTGATTTGATCACAATGACACATTTTATTGGACAATGAGCAAGCAGGCTCTCCAGCTAGTGGAGGGAAGATCAAAAGGTTTCTTGTCTTCCATCATCTGCCCCTGTGTCCTATATTTCCAGGTGTTGCAGTCACATGTAACTTGATTGAACATAAGGCTGTCACCCTAGAGTGGCATCGTAAAGCATGAGAAAGGGCAGACAAGGTAGTTTTCACAAGATAAAGTCCACTGAAAGGTCTTCAATACTCCACAGTACCTTGTAGGGCCCTAAGAACCAGGACAGGGTGGGCTCTGAGGCGTCAGGAGAGGTATGTCCCCACAGCTAGGGAGCTTAGGAAGCCTGTGACAGGTGGGAGCACCAGTTTCCTCATCTGTCAGATGGCTGAGAGGATCAGTTCTGTTTCATTCCCTGAGCGTTTCAGGAAGATGGAACAGGCTAACAGGCAAGCAGAGGGGAAGCCAGGACACTGTGAGTCCAGACGGCCTGTGGATGAGGGCTGGGATTTTAGGGTTGTGTCTCACCAGTGCCGTGGCCACGACAGTCACCTCACAGCCCTAACTGCAGGGGACCCGGCAGTACTGGAGGGAGGTCCCTTTAGAAATGAGCACTCGACCCCCACCGCGGCCGGCCGGGAGCACAGCCCGCTTGTCCTTACCAGGGGCGGCGATCGGATCCGGCTGTCCCTTGGCGGGTGGGCGCGGGCGTCTTGGGCAGGTGGAGGACAGCAGGCAGCCATCCGCGGCGGCGTGCGCCCGTGGGAAGCGAAGCGGTGCGCTTACCCAGCGCCGAGCGGTCCCGGGCCCAGCTGCAGGAAAAGCAGAAAAACCAGGGTGACCGGGCGCGCCCCCTGCCCCGCAGCCTGGGACCCTCGGGTCGGCTGGGCACTGATCGCACGCAGGACCTTGACCCCAGCCAGTGCGCACCTGCTGCCTCCTGAAGCCGAGAACCCGGGCTTCCTGTCTGAAGCCTGCTGGCCGCGGTGCCCCCTCCCATTTCCTCTTCATGACTGTGATTGTGAGCAGTATTAGGAGCAAGTGACAGGAAGGGAAGGACAGTCCTCTCCCCTCTCCCAGGTCCAGAGAAGCCCTTTTGTGGCTGGAAAGCGCTGTGCCCCCGTGGCAAGCACTTACTCCTCCTTGGGTCCCAGGCTCTACTTCTAGGGTGTTCCCTCTAACCTGGGACAGAAAAGGCACTGCTGGTCCTAGAAGGCCTGGGCGGGTCCCTCCCAGGGCATTCCTGGGCTCAGACATCGCACGTGGTGGCTGCCCCTTCTCTGCCACGTGACAGAGCCAGTCCCTAGGGACGCTGTGGTTTTTGTAGGTTTATGGGGGTGGGAGCGGAGTGATAGCGCCTCTGTTTTCCAAATGATTGCACCTTTAAGGATGGGCAGTGAACATAAGACAATTACCTGCAAAATGAGACTGAGAACACAATATGGACTCAGGAGAGGAGAGTCTCTTCCCAGAGAAGCCCAATCGCCTTCTGCTGACTGGAGTTACACTAACAGTCACATCGTAACCACTGTCTAAAATTTGATGGAGAAAATTAAAGAGTGACCTGCCAACCCTGAAAACCTTTCCACGAAGGCAGAAGAGAAAGAGGTTTTATTATTGAATTATCATTAAACCAGAATGTCAGGCCCATCACTGGACCCCACCAGGAGAAGCAAAGACAGAGAGAGAGTTCACTTAGTGTCATAGGCAGATACAACCCATGGCATATTGTCCTGGAGATAAGCCACAACTAATCCTCATTTTGCTTAACACAATGATTTTCAGCTCCATCCATTTTCCTGCAAATGACATGATTGCATTCTCCTTTATGGTTGAATAAAACTCCACTGTGTATATACAGCATAATTTCTTTATTCACTCATCTGCGGAGGGGCACCTAAACTGATTTCATAACCTGGCTGTTAGGAGTTGTGCTGCAACAAACATGGGTGTGTAGGTATCTCTGTGTGTGCTGCTTTGAGTATATACCCAGGATGGTATAGCAGGATCATACAGTAATTTTATTTTTAGGTGTTTGAGGAACCTTCACACTGATTTCCATGGTGGCTATATTAATTTACATCCCCACCAACAGTGTTTAAGAATCCCTCCCTCGACATCCAACATTTGTTGTTTGTTTTCTTGATGATAGCCATTCAGACTGGGGTGAGATGGAATCTCAGTGTCATTTTGGTTTGCATTTCCGGGGCGGCTAAGAATTTTGAACATTTTTTCACGTGTTTATTTGCCATTTGTCCTTCTTTTGGGAAGTGCCCATTCAGTTCATTTGTCTATTTGTTAATTGATTGGTGTTCTTTTGGTGTTTAATTTTTGGAGTTCTTTATATATTCTGGATATTAATCCTTCGTTTGATGAATAGCTGTAAAGATTTTCTTCCATTCTGTGGGTTGTCTCCTGATTCTGGCAAATATTTTCTTTGCTGTGCAGAAGCTTTTTAATTTGGTGTAATCCTATTTGTCAATTCTTGCTCTTATTTCCTGAGCTACTGGATTCCCATTCAGAAAGTCGTTGCCCATACCTATAATCTTAAAGTGTTTGCTCCAAGAAGTTTCAAAATTTCAGGTCTTAGGTTAAGGTCTTTGGTCTATTTTGAATTAATTTTTATACAGGGTGTGAGATAAAGATCTATTTTCAGTACTCTACAGGTGAATATTCAGTTTTTTTTCAGCACCATTTGTTGAAGATGCTGTCTTTTCTCTAATGTATGTTTTTGGCATCTTTGTCAAATATTAGATGACAATATCATGAGGGCTTATTTTTGGATGATCTATTCCACTGATCTATGTGTTTTTGTGCCAGTACCATGCTGTTTTTGCTACTATGGCACTGTAATATAATTTGAAGCAGATATTGTGATGTCTCCAGCATTGCTCTTTTTGTTCAGGATGGCTTTGGCTTTGGCTATTTGGGGTCTCTTGTATTTCCAAATGAATTTTAGGAATGTTTTTTAAGTTCTGTGAAGAATATCCTTGACATTTTGATGGGGATTGCACTGGATTTCTGTATTGCTTCTGGTTGTATAGCCATTTTCATAATATTAATTTTGCCAATCCATGAACTTGGGAGGTCTTTCCATCTTCTAGTGTCTCCTTTGATTTCTTTCTTCAAGGTTTTGTAGTTTTCATTGTAGAGGTTACTCACCTCCTTAGTTAGGTTTATTCCTAGGTATTTTTTGGGGGCTATTGTGAATGGGATTGTTTGTCATTGGTATACAGACAAGCTACTGTGTTTTGTATGTTGATTTTGTATGCTAGTATTTTTGCCAAAAGCATTTATCAGATCTAAGAGTTTCTGGGGAGAGTTTCTAGGATCTTTTAAGTATAGGATCATATCATCTAC